AAAGAGAAATGAGAATGAAAGAAGAAAAAAAAATTCTTTTCAATATTAGATGAGACCTGGTTGACTGCCTTTCAATTCCACCGAACGTCTGACGAATGTTGACAATAATTTATTTACCGAATATCAAAATGATATTCTAGCCAGCTCTCAATGCACTTTCCTGCCATTAATTTAAATTTAAATTTATATAAAAATCCTTCAGATGGAATTTTTATTATTGTTATTATTATTTGCATATATGCAGATTATCGTCGAGATAATTCTTCTTGTGCCTTTTTTTCCCTCCTCCCTCAGGTCGCTCCGCAGTTCTCTTCGTCTATTGCAGTGTTCTTATTTGGTTGAATTTGGATGATTCAGATTTAATTTGACTAAGATTTGTTCATGGTGTAGATACTTTTAGTCTAGACTAATTGATAATACCTGAACCTTGATCTTTAAATAGTATGTTTGGTTGTAGATGCTTATATATTGATAAATTAATCTAGTATGCCAAATGTTAAGATATTGTTAATCATTAGATTCTAGTATAACCTTAACCTGAATAGCACAAGTCAGTTAATCAAATAGAAATCTGGGACTTAACTGGTTCAACTCTGGCATAGTACTGGATTAGATTTAAGTCAAGCACAATCTCAAAGTTAGATGTAGTGTCAGAGCAGAGTGGAATCTTGGTTTCCAGTCATAAATAGGCAAATCTGTCATTGCTAGAGTTAAGCTTCTGTGGCGCGAGTGGTTAGGCAACAGATTTGATTTCTGGAACATTATTTCGTAAAGGATGGGTTCGATTCTCACCAGAAATAGCTCTCTCAATCATTTTACAAAGTATGACAAAAATTTCTGCAATGCTAGTGACATTAAACAAGAAAAGTTTGTTATCTTTGACAGCTAAGATACCCCGATTAGCATCATTTGTTCTGAGCTTTAGAATATTCTAATCCAATCTTTATTTAAGCCAATTAAAGCAACAGAGCAGCTAGGTCGGAACTCTTTCTGAACTTTTAATAGTCTCTGGTGCTTCAAAATGTTTTCCTTGGAACTTAAAATCCTAAATCAAAGAAATTATTTGAATTATACCTTATCTGGTCTAAACTGAAACATTTAAGCCACTCCAGACAAGATATCATCCAAATGTCATTTAAATTCAACATAATCTTCATAATCTGCATCTTATTCATTAAAGCTAGTCAAACAACACTGGTCTATTGATTTAATTATTCTGTTATTGTGAAATAGGCCGACATATACGAATACGATGATAATGTAATGTAATATAATATATATTAAATGTCACAATAGGCAAAAAAAAAGAACAATTGGCACTGCACTATACAACACAATAAGCATAATGTCATTTCTGCAGGCAGTAGATGACATAAATGTTTACCTTTAATACTTTTAATTATCCGTTCGACTCTGACTGTGACAATGAATATGAAATAAAAATAAAAAATACAAAAAAAAATTTTTTATACATAAAAAAGGAGAGGAAAAAAAGGTGGAAATTCTTTATTTCAATTGTTGTCTTACTTCTTCATGCTGTATAATTCTTAAGAGAACGAAAAATTGTCTGGCCAATTTTCAACATTTCTTATGGTGTCTTGTTAAATATTTTTGGTGCTAATGAAAAGTAAAGTGTAAAATTTTTGCTCTTCGTCGAGTAATTTTATAATTTTTTTTTTATTCTCTCTGCCTGCACACACTCGGTTCTCTACACCAATTAAGTGCACTTAATCATCATTTCATTTCTGCGTTGTTGTTTTTTTCAATTTAAGCAATAATCAGTTTGATTGAAAAGCATTTATTGTGTATAGCATGTGTCATGACTCTTTGTGATTTTTATTTATTTTTTTATTGGTGCTATTTTGAACGAACTTTTGTGATACCAACTTAGTGGCCTTTAAATTCATGAGATATTAAGTATTTTATTTTCTTGAAGAATGTGGGATGGTTTAGTCATTTTGTCCTGAATATTCAATATAGTCAGGCAGTTTCATTGATTTTTGGACGGCCTTATTGTCATTAGGATCAGAATCATATTTAGTATCATAAGGAAACTGAGTCTTGGGATACCATGAAGGACAAATAATCAAAGCTTCAGAATAACATTAAGGAATAGGATTAGAACCAACGAATCGTCCTTATTTTCCCATCTTTTTGAGCTTCCATCCTCATTTTATTGCTACTTTTCTGAAACACGCCTGCAAAGAAGCTTGACAGAATACTACTTTGAACATTTTCAATCCCCAACTCACAAAACAATAGAAAATCCTTATTAACTTTCTACTCCAACTAGATATCTATCATCAAAATCACAATACACTACTAAGTGGCCAACTCTTGACCCCACAAAATAATTTAATTAAATTCCAATATAACTGCGCTTTTATCAAACAATCTCCAAAATATTCCCATACTTCATTTATTTTTAATTTGCTTAAATTTGAGTGAAAAAAAAAGTAAGAATGAGAAGGCAAAAGAGTAACTGAAAGATAAAAGCGAGATTAGAAATTGCAAAGTTTTTAAAATTTAAATAATTGCAACAAAACAAAACAAAAAAGTACCTAAACTATCGAAGTAAGAGAGTGAGTAACAAAAAATGCAAATATAGGCATAGTTTTGAACTTTTGTGCCTCCTTATGTGCATGTTCAGCGAAGTAACACAAAAGCTTTATTCATACAGCAATTAAATAAAATGCCTGATTAGAGAGTCACATCGGAGTGGATAGAGAAATGAGAACTGAATGGAAAGGAAGCTGATTCTGTTATCTTGTCGGGAGGGCTTTAAACAACAACAACAAGTTTGCAGTCTATGGGGTCTTGAATGTTTTGCATTCATTAAAAAAAAAATTGAATAAAGAGCTGTTGACCCACACGACTATGATACTCAATGCCCTCCAACGATAGTCTCGCACTTAAATAGGGAATAAAACTAGGCACATTAATACTCATTCTCATGATTTGTTCCTGTTCTTTTTTCTACATAGCTTTTATAGCTGGCGATGTGTTGCATTGTTTTTAACAGTCGCGATTTGTCCATCTGATTTTCAGTCAGTCTAAAGCATTGTGTCCAAACTGTATGCACACTGGAGTGTCGTAGAAATATTTTGTAAATGACGCGAGCTGCATGCTGTGTGTGACTTTGCTAAGATGTGCCGTGACTCAAAAAAGTTTGCACAATACTGGTCTAAAGGCACAGCTGTTTGATTCATAGTCCATCTAACCCCAAGGGCGTAGCCAGGGGGGTCCTTAGGTGTCTTTTGTGTATTTGTTGCATTTTTTTTCGGCTCAATAACTGTTCATCAATCTGTTTGCAATTCCAATCATTTGCCATAAATCACCACATCCAAAAAATGCGCTTTTAACGTCCTCCTCTAGTTCATCCTTACCAGCTTTATTTTATTTCTCGATCTCTGATGAGGCGACTAAGAAGAAAGATGAAAAGATGGTAGTATAATATGGTAAATGTAGACATTTTTGGAATTGTGTTTCGCTTAGTACAATATAAATCATATATGCATATACTTACATTGCAGAGCAAATAGGAGAGATGTGAAAAGAAGAAGTGAATAAATAATTTAATTTTAACAAAAAAAAAGAGTGAAAAAGAAAGAAAGAGAAAAAGACATTTAACCTTAGTTTATATGCACAATTTCCATTCTTGGGAATTTTGGATCGAAAACAAAGGTTTTAAAATTAATTTCTGTTTAACTCTTTTATTTTTGCTGTTGTTGCATCTTGTTGCATTCTGTTTAATTTTTGTACGGAGTCTGAGAAGAATTAAGTTTGTGGAATTTTGGGGAAGTGATGGATTTGTGGGCGCATTTTGGTACTTATTGCGAGAGAGTGGCGGTCTGTCACTTGCCTATCAACAGGCACTATCTGTTATGCAACTCTTGTCATGCAAGATAGATACTCAAGACTATCCTTAGGATTAATATGATTCTATGTTAATTTAAGTTTATTTAGAGGTTAAATCAGAATAATACTTACATTAATCCACATGAAACCAAAAATATCAAAATATTCAGATAAGAAGAAGGTTCAAATCCTTATAAATTACGAGAAACACAAGATGCTTGTATCATTTCAAAATAAATTTTTTTTTGGCAAGAATAAACGAAGCCACTTATTGTACATTTTTAGAGCACCCCCCTTCCCCCCCCCCCCTCCCATTTTTACAAATTTTATTTTATTTCATTTATTTTTTGGTTTTATCGCTGGCTACCGTTTGCCAATTTCTATTTCCAAGCGCAAAACTGTCTGTTTTTAATATGATAACCTAACACAAATTGCAAACTTAACCTCAAATCTACATAAATTCTTAAAAATCAAGCTACAATGGAAACTAAAATTCACTCAAATAGATATTCTTCTAAGAGTGAAGAATGCTTAACTGAACAGTCTGAATAACATAGTACTGTACACTATATAATGAAAAGAGATATATTAGGGAGGTACGCGAGTGGAGGAAGATAGAGAGATGAAGAAACATTAAAAGTCTATAATCAAATATTATAATAAACACATCTTGATTGTAAGTACTTTTTGAGAAGAATCGAAGCAACAACAGCAGCAGGCTGAACATAAGAATATTTCCATTCTTTTCTCTCATTTCGATTTGTTGAAAAAGAGAAGCTCGAAAATACAGAACTGATACTCGACTGAATTTGACTCTTTTACGACCTTTGCACGACTTTTTTTTTCTTTATTTTTTAAGAAAAAATCTGAATGTGGCTATAAACGATACAAATGAATTGAAGCGCCTAGAATCTTCAGTCTTTTTTTTTATAACTATTTTGTTTTAATTCTTTTATGCTTTTCTTACATTCGTATGGATAACATTTGCAAATCTACGGCTGATAAATTCTTCAAAATGATACTTAATTAAGGCATTCTAAAACTAATTTTTATGTTGAGTTCTTGTGAAAAATAAATCTTTTTTTATTTTTTATTTCTTTTCAAATCATTAAAATTATTCTTTTTTTGTTCTTAATTTGCAGGAAGCCGCGGTGCTGTTCGTTATTCTATCTATTCGGGTGATCCGAATGCATTCTTTAACATTGATCCAGTGACGGGAAACATACGAGTGGCTAATTTGCTCGATCACGAGACAAAATCTCAAGTTTTACTCAATATTCAGGCAACAAGTGGTGATCCGCCATCATATGGACATACTCAGGTAATTTACTGTCTATATATTTTGCCTTTTTTCTTCTTTAAAGTACAAGGAACAAGAATCATATCATATTACGTCGTCCCCTTTCATTAAATGTGGTTTTTTGAGAATTTATTTTTAACGGATTTTGGATGTACTCGTCATTAGATGTGGGACTTTAGTTTGTCTGGCTGTCTGCTAGTTTTTTTATTTATTTAAATTGATTTAAATTAGAACCTTCAGTCAGATTAGGGGTGATTCATTAAAAATGGGTTTTTATACCCTATCTCCATTACCTCTAAATGAAGGACATCATTTATGAACTACTTTTTACTAATTTTTCATAAATCTTTAAGTTTTTATTGTTCTAAGTTCAATGATGAGTCAGAAAGCTCTTTTCTTGTACGAAGGTTAATATTGAGGAAGTCTAGTGACTTTGAAGAGTAGATATCAAAGTATGCATTTTTGGGGATGCATATGACTCTTACAATTCCTTCCAGTTACCAGCTAATCTCCATTTTAACCTTTCAAATCAAAAAATGCGTCATAAATCATCAAAGAATTCTATCCCAAGCATTTCATACCAGTATTTTGTTGGTTGAACCTAATAATTTCGTGTATAATTTCTGTTGAGTATTAAAAGCTGAAAAGAGTAGCCAGAAGATGCGATCAAGGACAAGCGAAACGACAATAATAGTTTTGTTTAAGCATTTGCCCTTCTCTCTCACTGTTTGAATACAAATTTCTTTCTTTTTTTTTGTGTGTCTCTTTTGCTTGCCTCTCCTCCTCCCAATCCACTTCTTCCATGTCCCTGCCTCATTCAGCATACTCTTCGATTTTACTTACCAAAAAATATAATAAAACGTCGTCGAGTACATTTTCGCGAAAGTCGCGTCTCTTTCCCTTCATGAATCATGATGCATTGAAAATTAAATGCAATCGATGGAAAAAGAAAGAAAAAAAAAGCTGGATTTAAATAAGTTGCATTAACAATTGAACACAAAACTGAAGGGAGAGAAAAAAAAACTAAATAAATAATGTCCGACAAAAACAAAAAAGACACACCAAAAAAAAAAATAAAAATGGTGGAAATATTCTGCATATAAATTGCATTGACATCAAACCAAAAATAAAAAAAAAAATACTTCATCGCATATCAACAAACGAAAAGAAACAATTTCTTTTCAAAGATAAAAAAAAATTTTTAAGCGAAAAGAAAAAAAAATTGGTTATTCAAATTCGACAAAAAAAAATAATAATATATAAAATAACAAACAAACAGTAACAGAAGAGACAGGAGCACATTAAAAAATTTATTTTAAACAAACAAACGAAAAAAAAAAATATTTTCTCTTTAAGCAAACGAATTATTTTGCTTTTGGCTTCAATCGAGAAAATAATTTAAATAACAACTGTAATGCAATTGTCCTATGGAAGAAGAAGAAGATATTTTTTGGTGGATATTGGTATCAGGGGTGGACACTAGGATTTATTATATCAGATTCGGAAGGTTTCATTTGTTTTTTGAGAAAACTAGGAATGTTAAGCTTTAAGATAGGCTTCTAGGTGGGTACCTAGTAAGTATTCTGAGCTCAAGCTCAATGTAGGGGCAAAAGAAGCTCAACGGTCATCAAATTAAACCTCTCAACTCTAATAGAAGCTAAATAGACCCATGAGAAATTGTATTTGTGGAAATTAATACTTTAGGGCAATTAATACGTTGAGGCAGTCAGCCCATTGGAGCAGTTGATTGTGGCACATATATAATGGGGATGTTAAGCCTTGGGCAGATGCTTTTGGGGCAGTCGTACCACACCCATAATATTATTATATAGATTTGATACACAACCTAACCCTAGCTTTAGGATTTTACAGTAAGGATACCTCTGTGGTTGAACTTTCTACTCCAATCACATTCTGTTGCCATTCTATGATTAGGTTAAACTATGATTGAGTAAAACTCTGTCTTAAAAGACTCAAATTCCCCAACATAGTTTAAAAACTAGCTTCGATGACTAAGTCATATCATAGAAAATAGATTATAAAGTAGAAAATGCTGTGATTCAAACAATCAACCAGCAACAACAATTCTCAAGCATAAATCCAACCCGAGTATCCCCACCCCGACATCCAAATTCCTTTAGTCGCTTTTTTGATACTTTTTTTTCATTCGTTTGTTTGATTTCAATACTCAAAATGTCGCTCACACATTTCTCAAAATGTGACGAAAGACAATTGAAATGAACATAAAGAAAGGGAGGGAAAAAGAATGAAGAGTTACTGAAGAAAACAAAAAAAAATTAAATAAATTTCATGCTCATTATTTTCAATCTTTATATACATTTATTTTATTTTAAAACAATTTACAGGTGAATATTGACATCGAGGATATCAACGATTCCGTCCCAACATTCGAATCAAATACTGTGAGAATCTCTGTGCCTGAAAATTTCGAACTCGGCATGCCATTATATGTTGTCTCAGCATCAGATCGTGATTCAGGAAAAAGTGGCACTGTCACTTATCGTTTATCAAACGGTGGCTCCATTCTCTCGTCAAACTCAAATCTCGTCACATCTAATTCAATTTCATCGATGTTGACATCAAATAATCTCTTCAATATCGATTCACGAACGGGCCATTTAACATTATCGCAGCATCTCGACTATGAAACATCACAACGTCATACATTAATTGTTACAGCAACGGACCAAGGCGAACCGCCATTGTCATCGAATCTTACGATTTTCGTCGAGGTGCAAGATGTCAATGATAATAGGTAAGAAGTTGTTAATCATAGCAAATGCAAAAGAAAAATGTTTATTTTATTTTTTTATCTATCTCGACCCTTCCATTCTCAACTTACTTACATTTTTATTTTTTTTATTTTTTTCTTTTATTTTATAGTCCCGTCTTCGAACGTAATGAGTACACTATCAAAGTATTGGAATCAATGCCAATTAATTCACAGGTAAATGATCGTCTTAATATGCATTTAAAAGAAGCTTTTTATGAGTTAATGAGCTTGTAAAAGCTGCATGAGATATCGATTAAATACTCATAAAAATTTCTTTACCTCACAACAACTTGAAATGATTTTATCCAAAAAAATTAGACTTGTCGAAACAAAAAGAGAGAATTGCAGTTTGGGGGTTGTTTATGAATGATGTATGCATGCTTAACATTTCATCTGAGTTTTGTGTGCAGTTTATCATTTTTATGGGGTGTTGGTAGGACTTAAAGCTTAGTTCCACTTCAAAACTTGCATCAAAAACCACCTTTCTAGAATATTCGTCATTAATGAACGTCTCCCAATATCCAATAATTATATAAGATCAATGAACGATCGTGCTAATTCACACACAAAACGGAGGAAAGAATTGGAAATGAAAGAATTTATTTCAGTCATTTAAATTAATTTACTTGTTGCATTACTACAATTTTCAAGATAGCCATCTTAATATTGTGAAGATCCTTGAGATAATTTTAATTCTTTTACCTCCTCCTTGATTTTTTTTTGGTGAGTGGATATTCGCAATGAATTATATGACATCATTCAAATTCATTAAGGAAAGAGATTGAAATCTCAAAAAAAAAAAAGTTTTTATTCCAATTTTATTCTTGTGCAACTGAGCACAGTCAGTTTAATGGATATTTTCTTTTCTTACTCACTGTGTCTACTTTTGCTGTGGATTAATGGGATTGTTGAGTATTGGATATTGTGGTTTGGTGTAGGGTTGAGAACAGGCACCTGTGAACAGATGAGAACCGTACAAATTCTTCTTCTTCTTCTTAATTAGTTTTATTAAGGTCCATCAGCGAATTGCTATTTAAGGACCGTCAACAGTTCCATTTTGTTTCAATTATATATATATACATAGAGTGACTATTAAAAAAATCCAGTCAACGTCAAATGGTTGACAGAAAACATGCCTGACGACCGTACAAATTCCTGATAATTTGTAAACTTTTATTAGAATTTGTATGGTTTTGTCATAAAAACCTTATAAATTATCAAGGAATTGTACGGTTCTCACCTATCTACAGGTGCCTATATCGCAACTCTGGTTTGTTGGCTGTATTGACTGTCATTGGATATTAGAACTGTAGGAAAATATCTAGAATCCGAAACTTCGAATGGTTCGATATTAATGTTAATCTATATGAAGACCATTCCGTCAATTTTGAGACACTATCATCTGTGACAATCAGGTTGCATCAGAACTTCAATTGAAAATCGTTTTCTACTGAAGACTATGGTTCGATTCCTTCCAGAAATCCTTCCTTTAATGAAATAATAATAGATCCACAATACAATGCACCAATAGAGTAGCCAGGAGGGTCTTGTCTTTCCCTAAACGTGAAGCTAAGCGGTTCAAAATCTTTAAGAAACAAAAGACCTTCCTAACGGCTCAAAATAATGCGCAATGAAATCATAATCATCAATAAAACTCTCCAACTCAATCACATAAGAATGGGTAGTGGATTATTGACAAAGCCTAAAGTCATATGCAATCATGTTAAATTAAACTGAGAAGAGCGATCAATTTATTCTTTAATTGTCAATATTTCTTTATTTTATGGCTTTTTAAATAGTCATTTGGTGAAACATGATGCAAAATCAGATGCAAATAGACATTTTGTTCTTATGAATATATCTTTTTATTTCATCGAAAAATATAAAAAATAAAAGTTACATTCAGAATGAGCAGGAAGATTGAGAAGAAAAAAAAGACAGAGAAGAAGCATAAGAAGGCAATGCCAGAAGACGAAATTAATTGATTTGTTATAAAGCGCAGAAAAATTGTTTGAACTTTTTAATGGAATCTCATCGGTCGAGCAAAGAACAGTTTGGATAATTTTTATTTTTATTTCTTCCTAAACTTACGACATTAATTAATTTTTTTTACATCTGTTAAAAATGGCACTGCTGTGAAACGAATTTTACAGATGTAAAGCTTTCCGTTTGTGGGTCCTTTAACAATTACGTCTCCAATTTATCGCGAAGTGTTGAGGAATGTCTAACAGCTTTACAACATTCAGCAGCTTCAGAATATCAAAAATGACAAATATCATAGCTGAACGACCCCCACCCCAACCTTATATGCACATTACTCGCTTATTCTTCATTTATTTGCAAATTTCATACGACTTCAAGTAATGTTATGTTGCACATTTTCTTCTTTCTTCCATTTGACCTCATCATCAATTAATCAATCTACAATAGACATTTCAATGCATGCATATATTTCTTTTCTTCTGATGTTTTGTTGTTTGTAAAATTTATTTTAATATTTTTTTTTGCTTCTTTTGCTTCATTTCTGCAACAGTGATGCATATTGTATGCATGCATGCCTTCTTCTTTTGAGTATGTTGTGTTACCTCAAGGATATGAAATTGAGTTTATTGGAATTTGAGTCAGTTTGGGAGGATTTGAAGACAAAAATGTGGTTGGTTTAAGAACTTAGTTCGATACTCAACTATTTTGGGATCTTAAGAGCTATAGCTGACTTAGTGGAGGTCTGGCTGACTTAGTGGAGGTCTAGAATACTCAACTAAGTTATAATGGACATACAATTGTTTATATTGACATTAAACACTTAAAGCAAGTTCAATAGTGCTTAAAACGGATCACAGAGCTCTAAATCATCCTTTAGAACCTTAGTGAAGCTGTAAGCTACCTTAAAAAACCTTATAAGAACCTTAATAGGCCTGTGTGAAGTACGCCGGTTCAAGTTCGAATTTCGAGCTGAAACTTGACTTGTTTATCGACACTTTTGCGAAAATTTTCGAAATTTTCGAGGCAGAAAATGTGAAGTACGCCGGGCTTTTTGTCCAAAATTCAACCCTCGAAATCTCGACAACTAAAGGGTGTCGAAAAAAACAAAATAGATGTCAAAAATTGTCGCAAAAATGTCGATAAACAAGCTAAGTTTCAGATCGAAATTCGAACTTGGACCGGCGTACTTCACACAGGCCCTTAATAACTCTATAAATTTTTAAAAAAATTGCAATCGATCCAAAAGATCCCCAAAAGTATTTAGAATTTCTTCAAAAATCCAGCAAAGAACTAAAATGCGCCAAACTTAAAAATCCTCAACATTCCTTCCCAACTTGCTCCATAAAAATTCATTAATAATTTCTCATACTGTTTTACAGCGAAATAAGGAGTTTTAAATTTCAGCAAATCCAGCTCATCGTAAAAGAATTTCATTCAATTACTCCACTTTAAGCTTCAGTATTTTTTTTTAAAAAAAAATGAGAATTTCGAGAAGAAAAATTAATTCATGTCCTATACGGTGCTATAGAATTAATTTACACGATCACAACATATCGAAATAGAATAATTTCTTGTGTATGATATCATGCAGTCATTGAAATGTTTCGTTTTTTTTAGAGTCAGCATTTTCTCATGGCCAGGCATTAGTGAACTATTTTTTTACGGTTCCTATCATGCTGGCTCATGGATCTAAAATATAAATTTTAACACAACATAGATACTGCCTTCTTCTACATATACTGTTATTTTTCATTTTTTTAACTTCTTTATATTTTTCGAAGAAAAAGAGCCATCACGAAATTGTTAATGCGCGAGAAATGAAGAGTGAGAAAGAAGTTTATATATATTCATGTTCTGCTGCTTAGAGATATATTATCTAAATGATGTGTTATATTAATACACATAGAGATTGCAGAAATGAAAAAGATGAACCTACCTAATTGACTTTCATATTTATTTTTTGTTCGTTTATGGTACTTCTTTGGGAGAATTCCATATTTAGCTTAATTTTGTGAATTAAACGTTTTACTTACAACGATGATGGTGGAGTTTGTGCAGATGTTAGGGGATATGGTTATGAGATATTTTTGTATTAACCGGGAGACCATTTTTAGAGAATACTGAATTTTAAGGGGTGCTTAATAGCTTACGATCGATAAAGTTGCGATAATAGGATTTTACTAATAGAGGAATAGCTTCATGAGCTACTGAACATCTGAGTAGTTTCCAGGATAATCGGAAACAAATGAATATTAAATGCAGAAAAGTCTTTGATGTGATCTTAGCTAACCCAAATGGCACAAGTTAATTGAATATAAATTCGGCGTGACTCTGGCATGGTTCTGGCTTCGATTCAAATCCAGCACCTTGTCAGTGTTTCACCGGCTTGGTTCCAGATTTTTGATTGATTAACCGACTTGTGCCGTTCGGATCAGATGGAAAGCCTTTTGTTGTAACTAAGGCTCCACATAAGAACATGGTTACAGTAAGTAAGTAAGTGCCGTTCGGGTAAGGTTCACTGGTCACTCATTTTTTGTATCAGTGTTCTAGTCATGAACGATCAGGATCGCAGTGCCTTCAGCTCGTCGCAACGTGTAGTAGCACACCGCCAGGCTGGAACCCTCTCACACTATTATTATTATTCTAGTCATGAAGCTAGTTCTGGTTTAAAGAACTCTCTTTAAGGCAGAATATTATTACATGTCAAAATAAAATTTCAAGGGCATCCGTATTCTCCAAACTTCCACTTGTATCCCCGATATCAATAATAAATTTCTCCCATTTCCACCTAAATATGGAGCGTAATTAATATTATTTCATTATTTGATATTATCTATTCACTTCTTCTTAATATGGATGGCATAGTATCATCATCATCAGCATCAATGTCGTGCTTTCTATTTCTACTACTGCTACTTATTGTTGAATTACAGAAATAATATTTATTCGTCGACTATCAATTGAAATAATTTTCTTTCTTTTCATGATGATGAAAATAATTCTTTTTTGTGAAATTTAAGAAACTTGATGTTATTACTCTCATTCAATTCTCTCTCTCTCTCTCTCTCTCTCTCTCTAGTTTCGATATTCTAACATACAATAGATATTTTATTCCATTTTTTTTCAAATGTACATACGGACATGTATATGAAAATTTATTGAGGCCTTATTTATTCATGTCTTCTCTCTTTTTTTCTTCCCATTGTATATTATTAGATTCTACAAGTTAATGCAGTTGACCTGGACACTGGGAATAACGCACGACTTACCTACCGTTTGGCAAATGCCGCAAATGGCAATCAAGCAAATCAACAGCAAAAGAAAATAAATAAGAACATGAGTGATTCAGAAGTGCTCGATTTATTTGGAATTTTTCCAAATAGCGGTTGGATATATTTGCGTGGAACACTCGATCGAGAGAGTCGAGATCGATATGACTTAACGGTCTTAGTCAGTGATAATGGAACTCCATCAGCAACAGCTACTGCGCGTGTAATCGTAAATGTTATGGATGCAAATGACAATGAGCCGAAATTTTTACGTCCGGCATATGAGTTTACTGTTGAAGAGAATTTACGACGTGGCGCTGTTGTTGGTGTGATTCAAGCTAAAGATGCGGACTTGGATGTTAATGCAGCAATTAGATATAGCTTGATACCCAGCAATACATCGTTTCAAGTTAATCCAATTTCTGGTGAGTTGCAAGTTTTTTTAAATTTTTTAATTTTTTTTGAGTAATTAATTCGATGCGTACGGCATAAAGTGACTATAAATTTCAAGGAAGGGATTGGTTCCATTATTTAAGTGACTAGAAAAGGCAAAAACCTGAAGCTCACCAAGGAATTGATATTCAGAATCTTATCATAAGAATAATTCAATGTATTTTTGAAGGAATATTAAGGTTAAAGTCCAAGTGGATAATTTTTGGCGGGAAAATATCGATTCTTCAATAAAAACTCATCGGAGTGACTAAGACGCTCAAAATTCTCCCATAAATCTTAAAACTACTTCAAACTCAACTTCTGTTCCATTAATGATGTTCCAAAAGTTCGATTCCCTTGAGATCAAGCTACAAATTACTCCATACCCAAAATAAACCTCAAAAAAAGTTTCTCCAAATCCAAAATCGAGAGAGATGGATAGATTTCATTAAGTAAATAATTTGCGTTGATTGAGTTGTGGCGCACAGCATCTTCGATCTCGATATATATCGCTTATATATCCATACACAAAAGAAAGAAAAAAAAAATAGTCAAGTAAAAAGAAAACGAATATAAATTGAGGTTTTAGAAAGGTTTGATCTACAAAAGTAAAAAATGCTATAAGTATTTGAATACTTTACAAATGAAATCTAAACCTTAAAAAAATGCCTTCAAATAATAATAATAAAGTCATGAAAGAGAATTTATGATTAATGGAAATTCGATGCAGATTTTTTTTTTCTTTCTTTCTCTCTTGGTATTATGGATATTAATATATTGACAGCACGCGAGATTGAAGCTAAAATATTGCTAGCCTGAGAACACGAAGATAAAATTAAAGTCTGTTGGTGTTATATGATAAATTCTAAATGTGGCAATTATAAAAATGTTTTAAATCCATTAGAATGAATTTATTCTCGATTTTATTGAGTGTGATTGTTGCTTTAGGGATTACATGATTCAGTTTTATTCAGAGTTTGAAGTTGAGCTGGTTTAACTGGGTACGACTAGAGTTCAGTCGATTTTACTCTTAGTTGACACTTAGTAGAGTTTGATTTTATTACTTCATCGATTATCAAACTAGAAGTTAGTTCCAGAATTGGATTCTAATGGCATTTCCAACACTGACTTAGATTTTGTCATAAGATCTAGATTTTCGAAGTAGAAACTTGAATTATTGACAAATTCTAGGTTATATCTTTAAGTTCTCAACCCGAGTAGCACAAGTCGATTAATCGATCAGAAATCCGGCACTAAGCTGGTGTGATTCTGGCATGGTGCTGGATTTAAATCGAAGCCAGCACCATTCCAGAGTCATGTCAGCTTTCTATTCAATTAACCGACTTGTGTTAATCCCAAACAAAGCAATAAATCCTCAAAAATCCATCAACATATTAACAAACTCAATAAATGCAGCTTGTCATCTTAAAATTGATCCATCAGAACTTCTTCATATACCAATCGCATCTTGGACAGCCAAAAAAATTCCCACAGCTTAACACAAACAAAATTTAATTTATTAAACTTCATCATTTTTTGAATGTAAATTGATAAATTTTGTTTTGGGGTCTTTTGAATGTTATGTCACTCAAATAAAGAACAGACGCAAGATCACGTCGGATTTGAGGAAATCTGTAATGTTGCTGCGTTCATGCCATCCTGGTGCCACATTTTCGGATATTTTACACCATGTGCCTTTCGAGCTTGCTAATTTTGAGTTCTGAATAAAATTCAGCTACTCATTTTTAATATAAAATGTCCAACTATCAACTAAGTGAAGTGTAGAATCAAGCATCCACATTTTGACAACAGGTTATGCTTCCAGCAACATTCCATAACACCTAAACGACCCCTCAGCAACTTTGTTGCAAGAAAAAAAAGTTTATTTTTTTCCCCTTCTCAATATATCATGTTCCTTCTCGTTCCTGTAAAAAAAAATAAGATTTACAAGGTTCCGCAAAAGACATTCTTCATAAAATTGTAAAAAAAAAGTACAAGAAAAAACATTAAATCCTTAAGATAAAAAAAAAATGTGATGCAAAAAACTGAAATAATTTCAAAAATTTCCGTAAAGATGAAATGGAAATATTTATTACAGCAAGAATTGACTCTTTTCGATCAATAAATAAATTTAATAATGCAAATGAGATCGTGAAACATTTAAATTACATTTTTTTTCTGCTTCATTCTCTCGACTTTGTGTCTGAATGCAGCAGAGAAAAAAAAAAAGAGGGAAAAGAAGTGATTCTATCGAGTTGTGAAGGAGTTTATGCAAAAATATTGCGACTGCTCAACAGATAAGCTAAGCTCTTCGACCTCAAATTTATCATATACTGTCGCATTTCATTTTTCTCGCGCACATTTCGAAGGTGCTGTTGCAGTGAGAATAAAAAATATTACAATTCGTTTACCTTTGAGGTCAGCGATGGTTCGATTCAATTAAATTATTAACTCAATTTTTCAATATTTAACATCAAAACGAGTCGATGAGAGAATGAAGAAATGGATGTTGTGGACGTTAGATGTGTTGGCGACACAGAGTTGACAATTGAGGTGGTTTGGTGATGTTGAATGTTAAGCTTTATATCTGTGTGTTTAGTTCTATATGACTTACTTACTTCGCTGGTCGTACAAATCAATTGTGATCCATGACCTCTCTTAGTTGACGGCTATAACTAGTTCTATCGCTGGCTACCGTCTGCCAATTTCCAATACCAAGCGCTATACTGTCTATATCAAAAGCTTCCTTCCACGAGTTCTTTGACATCCCACGTGATCTCTTGTCATCTACGAAGTCAGATTTAAAGACCTTATTTAATGGAGCTTCCACAGGTCTCCTTATGATATATCCAGCCCATCAGAGCCTGTTTACTTTAAATATGCTACTATATCAGCTTCTATATGCTACTATATGCTACTATATGAAATACAAGATAAAAGGGGACTTAGCAAGTCTAGTGATTGGCTTGCAAGTGAGAATCAAACTCATAGAATTGAGGATGAGGTTATCAACCCTTAGGGAGGGAGACGAGGGGCTGTTGCACAATTGATGGCTTATCATTCAACGATAGAGGCTTAACTGCCATATTAGAAAGTTTGGCTTCAAAAAAGTCATCTTTTAGCTCCATTCAAAAGGTCAATTCGACATACAGCATCATTTAATTTGAAAAATATCTAAATCCCTTCAAAGCAATGCCTATCTAGAGTCAGAACTCCCATAAACTGATGTGTTAATACCCAAACTATTGCCCATATAACAAACAAGATAAAAACTTCCTTCAACAGCAATAAAACATCCTTTAAATCACAAATAACACAAAAATTTCATCCCTTTTCACCACAATCAGTAGTCAAACGTGTAAAAATTCCATTCACACCTCTAATCGCCATCCAATTCCAACTCTGCGTGAATACATTTTAACTACAATGTGTTATGGAAATAAATCCATAAAGATTTGTTTGCTCTTTTTTCATTTCATAAAAAAATATAAAATAAAAGAAGAAAGGCAATAGAAGAAGAGGAATCTAATGTTTGACGAGAAGTGTATTTACACAAGTTTCGAGGGAAAAAAAATTCTGGAAGCAAATAAACTCAACTGACTAAAATCATTTTTTTTTTGCTTTATACCACGAAAAAAAATATATTTTTTTTTTATTAAATAATGATCAAAGGACGGACACCGAAAAGTACAGCAGCACCCAGACTCTTTCGTTTGCCACTCACAAGAATATAAATTCTTATTCTTGTTTTCTTTATTGTAATTTCGGGATAATATTCTATGCATCTTGTGTTGTGAGAGATGAGGTTGGAATGAGGAAAAGAAATGAAAAAAAAGACGAGAAAAGAATTAGTGAGCTTAATGGCTATTTGGTTTTGTTAAAGAAGTAGAAAAGAAAAAAATTGAAGATGAAAAGGCAATTGCACTATTCGAGATGCTTTTTAGATTCCAACAATTATAGTCGATTACCTACCGTATGTTTGCTTAAAAAATTAATATTGAAAGAAATGCATTTTATTCCATTTTAAAGTTTCCTTGCTTTTTGAATTTGTGGGGAGAGAAGGTGTGGTTGGGGATGCTATTTGTCTAATTGTCTGTCTGGGTTAGGGTTCACCTAGTAGATATCTTAAAACACAGGATCTTAATATCGATCAATCTGTTTTCGATCTCTGTTTTTAAGATGAATTCGTCAATTTAAATTAGTGCTTGTGAGAAGTCGTTCACTTATGACGTTCGCAAATAACATGATTATCAGATCTCCCTATCACAAAATTTATATAAATATAAATTTACTTTGTATGAGCTGTCATAAAATCTTAAACCCCCACCCTCTATATCTCGGACGTCATAAGCGAACGACCCTTTAAGGGAAACCTCATGAAATGGAGGGATTTGAACTAGCTTAGAATTCTAGATTTTGTGAATATTGTCGTATTGATTCTGGTAGGAATCGAACCAGTGTTCTTTCTGAAAGTCGGTTTTTGATTTCTTGTTCCGTGCCACACAGCCACATATGCTTAACTCTCGCTCTAGCTGATTCACCAACATATAGCATTACACAAAGACTTTACTTTGCCCTGAAATCACCAATATTATCCTTAATAATAATAATGTGTGAAGGGCCCAGCCTTTCAGCTGGAGGCACTGCGATTAAAATTAGAACAGAGTCTATTGTACCACACCCTTTAGACCTATATTTTATAGTGGGATCCGAACCACTTGAATATTATGCTTATTGTGCATCTATTCATGAACGTTTTGTTCTTATAATGTCCTTCTTCATCTCATCATTAACTTATCAAGCCAATCTAAAAGTCTCCCTAAAGTTAAAACGAATGAAGCTCATTAATGCTTCTCAGCCTCACTCTGACTCATCTCAATTCACAACTTGCATCCATCTGGCTCATCTCACTCACCAGTCTTTAAAGGCAATAAGGAAAAAATAAAACAACAAGCGATCAGACGATGAAGAAGAACTCAAAAACGACGAAAGGGAAAAAAAGTTATCTTTTTCTTCTGCGAAGCATAAATTGACGTTGAGAAAAATAGATAGGCTTCAACTGGTTAGAGCTAATGAATTGTAAACAAATTAGAGTGAAAGATATTCAAGTAATGGCAATTGATGATTCTCATCCATACAACCACATATTTGCGGCTTCTATTTGACTCTCACTGCCTCGGATTTATTTTATTTTTTTGTTGCGGCAATTTTACGGCAGAAGTGCATTTAGAATATTTTATGAGATGAAATAAGAAGGTAATGATTTCTATCTGATTTCTGCATTAATTAATTAATTTCATTTCATTCTTTATAAAAAATATAAATAATCATTTTTTTTCTTGTTTTGCCTTTTTGCTTTTATGCAGCATATTAATGGAAAATTTCTTAAGTGTACATTTGCTGGAATTTTGTGGTGTATACGCAATTTGTCTGGGGTGCAATTGAGTAATTGTAGAAGGTTTTTCAAAAAATTAAATGACTTAGGAGCTGTTTGCGTATTTTGTAATGCTTTTAAGGGGGCAGGGGGTCTATAAAGTTGTTTTTTCATGTAACGTAATAAGTGAACTGCCACTTGACTGGTGACATTGGTTGAATTTTTTTAAGACATCTGTTACAGTTCACTTAGACCCTCAAAATTTGAGGTTGAAAAGAATTCATTAAAAAAGTTATCAAATTACATTAGGAATATTTTTGAATTTTATGAGATTCGAACTCATGCGTGCATACTGAATTATGTGTCTAGTTTCAACTCATCAACTCAAAGTCGTCAAATTTTGTATGAGTTTGACTTTGGCTAGGCGTTGACACCCATTTTATTCAGATGAAAAAAAATTTGGGTGTCAATCAAGAGTGTGGAACTGAAGAATTACATTTTCTTCATTTTAGATCAATTTTGATAATTTTTGATAATTTTTTATCAATTTTGATCATTTTTGGTAATTTTTTTGATCATTTTTGATAGTTTTTGATCATTTTTGATCAATTTTGGCCATTGCATCAGCACTACACCCTTGGTGAAATTTTAAGTTGAAGTTAGCGAGATTGAAGTTTATTTATGGGTTTAGCAAAAGATTAGGGTGGGGGGGAGGGGGGATGGTTGGGTGTTTTATTAGATTCGCTAAGGTTTTAGGTCAAAAAATTCCAGATTCACTAAAAATGTCTGACCACGCATCTGATTAGGGTGGCTGATAATTTTTGAAAGAAAATTCAAGTCTTATTTTTATATGTAAATTTAAAAAAAATCTAAAAAAATGACAAATCTACATTTAAAAATGAAGACACAACTTAGAAATCTACAAAATTTTTAAAAAACATTTCTTACATCAAGAATCAAATTAATTTTTTTTTCAACATTGTTTATATGCAAACATTTACCCGCAAGTATAAACTAAAGTCTGACTCATATTCAACATTTCTGCTGCTTTTTACACAACAATTTTTTTTTATGAATTTCTTTTCCCCTCTGTTTTAAAGTCATGGAAATAAATAAATAAATATATTATGTTATTAGGCAGGAGCAAGAGCAATAATAATGCGAAAAATGAAATGTTTGTGTGAGCACAAACCATATCAGTAATCCAATTGCGACGGCTTTACATTTCCTTCTTTATTTTAGATTGTTTTTTTAAACACAGAAGAACGCGCAACAATGTAAAATGAGAATGAGAGAAAAAGTATCAGTCAAGTCCAATGGCGATTACAAATTTCTTAAAGTTTACTAACAAGTTTCATTTTATCAACTTTACTTTTTTTCTGTTGTTGTTGCTGTTTCTCTCTTTCCTCGTCCATTCGCAAACACTTATAAAATTTTACACAATTTAAAATACCTAAATATTATTGAACAAGTATTAATTCGATTTTATTCCTTTAAATTCAATAATAAGCAGTCACATGGTGGATGTTTTTGGATGCGGATGGGTACATAGTAAAGTATTCAGGGGTCAGGAAGGGTCTTGACAGTCAAAGATATTCAAAATAATTGAAAATCAACTAATCTGCTAGATTTAATGCCCTGCCTTCAGCTAAGGTATCATAACATCCCTAGCTACATCTCTGCTCAGTCTGGCATGCAGCAAAATTCTCGAATCTCGCACACACTGCTCAGTATTCTCGTAAAAACCTCCATTATTCTCTCATACATAAAATGACTATTAATTCAATATGCTTTGCATAATGTTTGTGCATGTTCTTTAATGTTGGCTTTATAAAGTAATATCTACCCTACCATTTTGAGTGCTGAACTGTGTGCGCTAAGATTATACATATTACTACTTCATGCTGTAGTTGAGAGTAACCAAAAATAAAAAAAAAAACCAATCTCGGCCATTGGTGAAACACAAAAAATGAGCCGAGGAAGAAGAAGACGCTTGAAAGTCATTTGTTGGTCTCGTAAAGTGTGGGTCAGAAAATGATGGACTTAAAGCTTTAAATCTATTCTCAAAAAGTCCAAGGCGCCTCAATCAGGACATCTTCTTTATCAGTTTGTAAACCTTACCATTAGTGACACATAAGCACGTAAAGACGTAGCCAGAAATTATTTTTGAGAGGTAGACTCAGGGAAGATTGAAATAATCTCATTCAACAAATCCCAAGCAAATTTTTATCCGAACCACACTTTATGCTAAAGCTGCTGTTTACTGCTGCCGTACGTTCGTTTGATTATTATCAAAAATTGTACTTCATTCCTTCATTCTCTTAATTTAGTGAATAAAGTCATGATTTGCTGACGATGTAAAAAAAAATTTATTTTCCTTCCATTTTCTCATTTTATGTTTTATTACATTTAATTCATAGGTGAAATTGTAACTCGTGAGCCACTTGATAGAGAATTGAAAGCATCATACGATCTTGTTGCGGAAGCTCGAGATCAAGGAACACCTTATCGTAGTGCCCGTGTATCAGTGCATGTGATTGTAAGCGATGTCAATGATAACAGTCCAGAAATAGTCGATCCACAAGAAGATGTTGTTAGTGTACGAGAAGAACAGCCAGCTGGAACAGAAGTTGTTCGAGTTCGCGCCATTGATCGTGATAATGGACATAATGCAACAATAACCTATTCAATTTTAAAAGGCCGTGACTCGGATGGCTATGGCTATGGAATGTTTTCCATTGATCCAGTCACCGGTCTAATTCGTACTCGTGTATCATTAGATCACGAAGAGCATACGATTTATCGGTTGGCTGTGGCGGCAACGGATGGCGGTAAACCACCAAAACAAACAACTCGAGTGCTGAGAATTGAAGTTCTTGATTTAAATGACCAACGGCCAACATTTACTAGCTCGAGCTTGGTGTTTAGAGTAAGTACAATTTTTAATTTCTTTTAATTCTTGTGGGATTGTTTGTGAATGATGTGTGCTTGAATGATATGAATGATTAACACTTTAGGCTGCTTTAAGAATTGTTGCTTCTTGTTTGAATTCTTTTAGCTAAAGGAATTCCTTTGTAGATGCTATAAATTTACTTTATATCTTCTAGGCTCTTTTTTAGAGTCCCTAAGAACCCTTATAGATCAAATTATATCATTTTGGATGCAATAACACTCTATTAGATCTATTATGCCAGAAAGAACCCCCCACGACCCCGTTAGCTGCATCTTAGACTTCTTTTAGATTCATTCGACCCATCAAACCACGATTTTACGATTTAACGGAGCTTCACATAGCCCCAGACTCAGAATCAGTACCCATCATTTATTAACGACCCCAAATTCCTTCGATTACATTCTGAGTGTCTTTTTTATCCTACAAGTTTACAAAAATTTCTCCAATTTCTACTCGAAAAAAATTTCTCAAGACGTTCGCTACTGCCCTTTTTTTGCCTCATTTATTTCTCTCCACATGGCAAGAAATTTTTTGTCAATAATGTTTAATTGAAAAATTCTTGAAATTATAATTTGAGGAATGCGCGATTTTTTTTTACCTGTTTATTTCTCTCAATTTTCCTTCCTCCTTTAACATCATGTGAAGTGTTTTTTATTTTTTGTGGACTGAGATTCGAGTTTTGTTGGATTTTAAATTGATTTGGATAGTTTGGTGGGGTTAAGTTCACATATCCATAACTTCTGTATATAGCAAGCTAGATTGACTATACTTAATTAAAGGAATTACTTTGATTACCCTCATTTGTGATGTTTGAACCTTTAAACTTACAATTAGTACTCAATTCTCTCCCAAAAATCCAACCCAACACCTTTTTTACAAATTAAAGCTCAAAAAGCACCTCCAAAAAATTAATTCCCATTTCGTTCACAAAAGGCTGCAACTAATCTCATGAAATTCCAATTATTTCCTTTCGTAACTGTACACACCAAATTGAAAAAAGCCTCCTAATAGCCCCGAAAACAAAAATTCGTCACATTTCTTCTTTTTTTTTGGCACAATCGAGAAAAATAAATCGAAAACTAAAAAGAACAAAAAAGATTTTCAATTAGAAAGCAATTAATTTTTTTCTTGAAAGAAGTGATTCTCGCATGAATCGTGATTAATCGTGTTATTTGTTGCTTAAATAAAGCGACCTGTAGGTTATGACATCATAAATTCATTTATGAAGGAATGACTGTCAAAAAAATATTATTTTTCTTTTTATTTCTTATTCGAAGAGAAATTACAGCCAGTGGCAAAGAGTATTGTTCTCGTTTCATACTTTTTTTTAAATCCTCAAACAGTTCAGACCGACTTCAACAACATGTTCGCGTCGTCGCGAGGCTGGCAAGAAATTTTCGGTAACCTCTTGTGCGACGAAAAAGTCAGCGAATATTAAAATAAAATCACCAAAAAAATAAGAATAAAGAATGCACAAATATCTCGTTCTTTTTGCGAAAAGGAAAAAAATCAAGTAATAAAGTCATCGAGTAGGATGCTTAAAGCGCATTTTGGTTTTGTTGAAAAGTTTTAAGGTTGAGATTCGAACCCAAATTTTGATTAGGAATGCTGACAATTTTTTTGAAGATTTTTGTATAAAATCTTATACTTCACAAATTCACCAAAGATTCTATGAATTTATTAAAATCACTCAAGGTAGGGTCCTAAAACTCGGACGAAAGCAAGTGACCACCTTCAATGACATTTAAATCTCCATCGATTTAAGTATTATTAAGAAACCAGCTCAAAGTCGATCAATGTAAGATTAAGGTTGCAAAAGTGTCAGTTAAGTAGCTGAAAGTACAGCCAGACATACCACCAACATTCCAAACCTACTCATATGAAAAAAATTGCACAGAAAAAATGGGGAAATAAAATATAAATGGGAATTAAAATGAAGCAAAAAGAACTCTTTTTTACGTTGTTCATACATAAAACGATGAAGGCATTTGTGTGCACATATAACAACATATAAGAAAGAAAGAAAGAAAAAAAAAAACAAAAAACTGAATTTCAAGATTCTTTCGCTGCCTTTTTCATACCTTTCATCATGTTCTTTTTCTCCTTCTTTATTTCCATCATTCTCTCCGCAATTCAATGTGTATTTTATTCGCGTATTTCATTTGTGAGGTTTCTTCTTTCGTACATATTACTGCTCTGTTGTTTTTATTATTTTTAAGTAGCAAGGTTTTCTAGAATGTGGTTGGGGTTTGGTCGTATTTAGGCGTAGGGGGAGCTTATGGGACCTTATTGCTATGATAGGTATGTGCATTTTTGTTGCTAATTAAGAAATGAAATTTAATTTTGGCTGTTTTCGACTACAAGCTTTGCTACTTTTGGATATCTTGGAGTTGAGTTTACTAAATCCTACAAGTAGAGTCAGAAGCTATTAAACAGATGTTGAAAGAAGTGACTTACCAGAACTGGGAGACCAAGGTTCATAAATGATGTTAAACAGAAAATAATCTGAAAAACCGATCCCGAGTAAGACTCGAACTTACGTCTTACAATTTCCAATCGAATGCTCCTACCACTGAGCTATTGGGGTTATCAGAATTTATGGCCAGATGCCATACATAAGCTACAGACTTTACTGTCTCTCCTTTCTGCTCATGATGATCTAAGTCAGTGTTTTCCAAAATGTGTGACACGACACTCTAGTGTGGCGTAGAAATTTTTTGAAAATGACGCGAGCCGGATGATGTGTGCGACTTTGGTCATGGCTTACATCTAAGGTGTGTCGTGGCTCAAAAAGTTTGGACAACACTGATCTAAGTCTTATCATTGTCAAGGGCATAACTTATATTTCAACAATAGTTAAACACCAAGACTTTTTTTTCAACAAGCAAATATTAATTAACTTTGGTTCAATCAATCGCTTCCTTCTTCAAAAATGCGCCAAAGCCAACTCATCCTCTGCATTTCACTTCATACCATTCCATAAATTTATATTTTCATCATTGCCAACAATGCGCTTTGCAGAAAAATAAACTAATTCATTGCAAATGCATGATGAGTGTTGATAATCTTGAAATATTTCAGAAATGATCATTTTTTTGTGCCTCAACCATTTTTATCTATCTAGAATTAAATTTTGTTTTTTATTCTCGTTTTTGTGCCTTTGTGCTTGGTGTTGAAAAAGTTGAGCTTAAGGAAATACAAATAGCGATGCGCTGAACGTATTGATAAAGGAAATTGAATTCCTTTTTGCCCAGCCACAAGATTTATTCCTTTTTCGCACCTTTTGCATTTTTTTTCTCTCTTAATTTGCTTTCTTTCTTTTCTCTTGCACTCTCCTTTTGTGTGGGTATTATTGAGTGTGTGTTTGTGGATGTATGAACATGTGGTTTTGACTCTTTTCTTTTTCTGGGTGGCAAATTAGCGCTGATATTTTTTTGTCCATTCGTAAAAGTGTCATAATTTTTTTTCTTAAGAATTCATTAGGGGCCATTCACTAATGACGTCCAGGGGGGTCAGCAAGAAAAGAACAATAGAAATTCCTGGAAATCCATTGTTCTGTTTTGAAAAATGACCGTTAATTTCGGACGTCATAAGTAAACGACCCCTTAATAAATTCTGATTTTTAATGAAATGAAGTTTTTAATCGGTTTATAAAAATATAAGTTTGTCATATTTGTGCTTTGGGGTCGTTCATTTATGACGTCAGAAATTAACGGTCATTTTTCAAAAAAAAACTATGGATTTCCAGGAACATCTATTGTTCTTTTCTTGCTGACCCCTCCCAACCCCCACAGGACGTCATAAGTGAACGGCCCCTCTGGGTTTCTGTCGTTATTTGCAAGGAGGCTTACCCTTGTTGATGCAATATTTTCTTGCAATTAGGCTCCTGAAGCAAGGGTTCAAATCTTTTTTGAAAGGAGCATTCAATTATTTTTAAAACTTAAAAGCAGTGTTGTCCAAAGTTTTTGAACCCTCCGCACACCTGAGGGGTAAGCCATGACCGAAGTTGCACACACCATGCGGCTCGTGTCAGTTTCACATTTAGGACTACACTGCTTTAAAGGTACCTAAGCAGTAAAGCATGAACTTTAAGTGCAGTACTTATATTCCATAACAATGTGGATTTTATTACTTGTTCACTTTCTTTTATGGCTACTGCTATTCCTCCTTTTTTGTGAGGAAACATGAAAACCAGGATTATGAGATTAGAAAGAAAATGGAAAGCACAAAAAAGGGTTTCATAAGGGATGAATGAGAGGATTTTAAATTGAGGAAGTAGATTCTGCTATAAATAAGAAAGATAAAATGATAAAAAGCTGAGCTTCAATTTGAATAATAAAATTTAATTTAATTTTTTTTGGTCTTTTGATATTATAAATAGGAAGCCTTTATCTGGTTTAGATAGATGGAATGGAATTATTCAATTGAATGCTTGAAATTAAAAAAGCAATTCTTATTAATTTTTGAAAAATATGTAGTTTTTAAAACTTATGATGTTTGATACTTTTTTGACGTCACTGGTGGAGGGGGGAGGAGGGGGTAGTTTGTTTAAAAACTTTAGAATAATAGCATCAGGGGCGTCCCCAGAATTTTTTTCGGGGGTTCGGATTTAAAAAAGTTCTACAATATCTAAACTTTCTAAATTAGGTTAGGGGGGGGGGAGAGGTGCTTGACCCAGTAAACCTCCCCTGGATACGCCCATGAATATTATCTCGAATGGAATAAGTCAGTTAATCGAATAGAAATCCGACATCAATCCAGTGTGACTCTTGCATGGTGCTGGATTTAAATTGAACACAGCACTATGCTAGCCTTGGCGCCAAATTTCTATTCGATTAACCGACATTTTCCATTCGGGATCATATTCATGAGTGTAGCCAGTGGACGTTAAGGGTCAACTCCCATCCAAACAGCAATAAACGTTAATAAAATACATTTCAAAATTCCCACAAAAACAAAATCTTCAACAAATTTCCATCACGAACATTTCTTCATAAATTATTTTACCAGCACAAAAAACAACTTCATCCAAAATCCAAAACCATAAAAGACACAAAAGAAAAGTATTTAAATATGACTAACTTCAACTCACCGAAAATGTGACATAAATAAAGCAGTTCTTACTGATATCATAATAATAGATGAGCCCATCCATGTTCACAAATCTTTTCTCTAGTTCCATTTCATTTCTTACATGCGATTGACTTTCTTAAGCCTCAAAAAAACAAAATTCCCGTTTCTTTTTCTTTTCTTGCTCGTTTTTCTCCATTTTTTTTATTCGTAATTATTAAATTAAGATTATAAAATGACTTCATAAAAAAACCATCAAACATTTCGTCGCTTTGAGTTTGAGTGACCAACAGAGATATGTGAAATTGACGACATTTGGTCATTGTATGAATGAGAGGTAGATAGAGACGAAAGAAGAATGTCTGTGTGTGTGTAGAACTCGAAAGACAAAAGAAGAACAAAAAATTAATAAATTTATTTATTTTTTTCTATCTCTTTTTTTCAACAGGTGCGAGAAGACGTGCCAGTGGGATATGTTGTAGGTTCAGTTGGTGTCTCAGAGCATTCCGATTCCGATAATCTGATAACAAGTGCTGGTGGTGTACATGTTACATACTCGCTAACACCACTCACAAATGACGTTATTGCGGGTGCATTTGATATGGATAGAAATACGGGATCGCTTGTTGTAGCTAGGAAATTGGATCGCGAGAAGCAGAGCGAGTTTCGATTGGAAATACGTGCATTAGACATAAGTGCATCAAATAATCCACAAAGTTCAGCTGTAACAGTTAAAGTTGAGATTGCTGATTGCAATGATAATGCACCAATTTGGGAACGTGATCCAATTACCATAGAGATACCGGAGGATGCGGCAATTGGGACATTGATTTATAACTTTACGGCAACAGATGCTGATACGGGCAGTAATAGTGAAATACAATATAAGCTTGTTAAGCAAGTGCCATCTGATGAACATGATACATTTGCTGTTGATCCATTAACTGGCGGATTGACGCTCTTAACATTACTTGATTATGAGGCACTGTCAGAATATATTCTTGTCGTTGCTGCCACTGACCAATCATCAAATGCATCTGTACGGTTAACAACATCAGTAACGGCTAGAATTATGATCATTGATATCAACGATCATGTCCCAGCATTTATTCAGCCAATGACTAAAGATACGGTTGTCTACTTAAGTGATTCAGCAACAGTCGGTCAATTAGTTACGCATGTTATTGCCGTTGATAAGGATAATGGAGACAATGGATTAATATCGTATAACATCATTAGTGGCAATGAGGACGGTCGATTTAATATCGACACCGAGAACGGTTTTATTGAACTCGCAAAGCCACTAATTAGAAAAATTGAGTCACACTCAAAGACGCCGAGCAACCAAAATAGTGTCAGCAATTTAATTAGTGGAAAATATAATTTGGTTATTAGTGCCAGTGATCGTGGAATGCCAACGCCGAAAGAGACGAAAGTTAATGTAAAGATAATTATTCAGGGATCAACAAATAATCCTCCGAGATTCCTAGAAAGTGTCTATTATGCCAACATCACTGAGAATGTTCCACTTGGAAGTTTTGTTGTACGTGTTAATGCCAAGTCCTTCAATATTGAAAATGGTAAGTGAATTAACTTCTTATTATTATCTTTTTTATTTTTTGCTCTGCAACAAGGAATGGAACCGGGCTGTAGATGTGTAGTTGTGGTGATATTCTGGATTTATGTGGAATTGGGGTGCAATATTTGAGTGCCTGCAACTATGGGTTGATGCCTAAGTACATAAAGTTGGTTTATAAACTGCTTTTTTGTATTAGGGATGCAATTTAGTGTCTCAATCAATCAAAGCTAGTGATGCTTTACTTAATGACTTTATTGAGACTTAAATACTTGAATCCAGCTAGTCTAGTATCCAAAATTACGTAAAATCCCCACAAATCCTGTGTATGACACCCAAAAAAGTGGGAATAAGTTAACCAACACATCCCCATATGCCGCTCGGTCATATGAACTTAATCTCATGTAAGACATTGCATTTTCATCTTTTAAATTGATGTCATTAACAAAAAGGAATGTATTGTTGATGCATAAAGTTACTTACTGTCTGCCCTATTGTTGCGTCTTTCATTGCGCCTCCATAATCATATTAAATACTATTCTACAACAACAATTGCTACTTTCCTATTTTATTAAGTATTTTGAAAAAAAGAACAGAATGGATAAGAAGCACATGAAGATGAGGAAAACGAACAACGAAAAAAAAAATCTTGGCAAATGTTGCGTTTTTCTTCTTCTTAATCATCATCTCTTCATTCTATCCATAGCCATCAAAAAGAGAACGCAATGTACATTGCGAAGCCTAAAATACAATACATGCCAATTAAAGATATTAACAATAATCTTTTAGTTTTCTCAACTGTTTGTGAATTTTTTTTATATGAACATGTGAGTGAGATAGAGAGAATTTATCTCAAACTTGTGATGGGCATTTTTATTGCTCTTTTTCTTTATTTTTTTTAATGTTTTAAAAAGCGCTTGGAAATCAGAATTATGATGATGATGATGATGATGATGAGTATAATATCAATTCAAAGCAACACACAATAATTTTTATACAGCATTTGCTTGACTTTCTGATAGATATTGTGTGTCTTGTGGAGGAATTGTGATTTGTGATGTGATGTTGATGATGGAATGGGGTGTTGGTGTCGTGTCCATTTGTTATTTGAGATTGAATTGAAGGATTTGGTGTTAAAAATTGAATTTTGTTGGGAAGAACATTTAAATTGCAACTTAGTGTAGGCTGTCCATCTACGCTTTTTTGATCGGGATGGTCCCGTTGTTTTGAACAAAGTTTCGCCTGAAATCCTTAATGTGTTGCTTTTTTGAACCTGTTATTCTTGGAAAATGCTTGTAAATTTGGCCTGTCATGCTTTTTCAAAGCTAAAATCGGGATATGTCTTACTTTTTGACCAAAAATCGGCAAAAACCGACGGACAGCCTAACTTAGTGACCGGTGTTAAGGTTTTAAAGACACTCTCTGTTGAAGTTGACTAAGTTGAGTCGAATCAACTTGAGCTTATATTCTTGAAATATCTTCATATTAGTGCCTCAACTAGAGTGGGAAGACTCCAAAAACTCGAATAAGTTGGCCTTCCATATTTTTTCTGGGAGGTAGCCTGCAAAGTGGAGGCATGCCAACTCAAGCTTCAACACATTATAAAAACTTCTGAATTTGAACTCAAAACCTGCACTTTCTCTACAATTAAGATGCTAAATCCACTCTAGAGGCTCAAATCATTGTTAATTATTCAAATTAAATTACACGAGCTTGCTAATTGAACATAACGTTCATACAATTTACAACAAATTTGTACAGTATTTGCTCAGTGCATTATTCGAAAAAGAAATTAAACTGCAGATTAGCATAATTTATTTCTAGTTTAAGAAGCTCACACTTTAAATAACTGACACATTTTGGAATTAAAAAAAAATCGCATCTTAATTTGATGTTAATAATTAAACCGGTGAAATGTTTGTCTTTTTTGGGATCTTTGCTAGTTTATTTTTTGGGAATATGTAGATTTTTTGAGGGGGGTTATTCATAAATGATGGGTTCAAAAGTTGTTACTTCGATCTTACTATGAGTTCTGATTTCATAAGATAATGTGATTTTATAAGATGTTAAACTGTGAGCTAAAGTGGCTCAGTGGCGGAATGGTTTAGTGCGATGGTGCATAATTATTATAAAACCAACACAGCGATCCTGGGTTCGAGACTCAGCTTGGGAAATTTTTGTTTGCCTTTTTCAAACCAAATGTACTGGATATTAAGATTACAGCCTTCCTTTGTAGGCTACAGACTGCAATGTCATCAAAGGAGTGGTTCGGATCCCACTATGAGCTGAAGGCAGTAGTTTGGTGCATCCTTACTAGTTAAACTCGAATTAGCTGCGAATCAACCTAGTGCACCTTTGGATCAAAATTGATCTGCATCTTAAACTTTGATAGACGCCATTTTGTAACGCTTCCCAAACGATCTGCAAATTGATTGCTGCAAATTCTGCAAAAAATAGTTCACATCCCATAAAAAAATTCACTCTAAATTTCTTGTTCAACAAAAAAAAACCATTAACTCAATCAATATTAGAGCTTTTAGTTGCGTTGTGTGCCACATTTTTTTTAATTAATAATTTTACATGCTGTAAAGAAAAGAATCTATCATAAAAGTGTACATTAATTGAGCTTCTCTCACGATTTCATCGGAATGAAGAAGAAACAAAAACGAAGTGTAGAGTTTGAAAAAAAAGCACAGCACATAAAAAAGAATGAAAGGAAAGTAAGAGAAAAAAAATTGTAGTTTTTTTATGAATGTACACACCGAAAATTAAATGCCTCAATCATCAAGTAAATGCATGGAGAACAGCAAAAACCACTCAGATAAATCAATAATTATACATGAACTTTAATCGTTCAAGCCATAATCTGCCTTTTCAACGGTTACTTGATCAAGTGCTATAGCCAATAATACAAATGGGATGCGCTGAACATATTTATATAAATATATTGTACACTGACTATACACCAAAGATGAGGAATGTGGATCAATTTACTTGAACTTTTTAATCTTACCACTGTGATCATTTATTTATTGTAAAGTAAAGTCTTAAAAAAACACAAAAAAAATATACATCAGTGGATTGATTTTGCGCGTACAGCTACCATCAATGGCTATTAATTCAAATGAAAATCATCAGCTATGATGATTTTATCAGCCATTAGATCCACTTCAATTTCATCATAACATGATTCGCGAATGAGCAAAAAAATTATTTTTTTATGAACTTTCTTGGAGGAAGTGATGTAAGGATGTGGACAGTTTGGGTGTCAATACATATTTGTGCAGCTGTTAAAATATTTTTTCGAGTGCTTCTGATACAGAAAATATAAAATAAAAACATTAAGTTACAAAAAAGAGAGCAAAAATTAATTTGCAATGTAGATGAAAACATTTTTTTGGGCCGATCGGGAATTGAACCCACAAACCTTCATGAAATATATTTGTCCTAGTTTTATGTTTTTGGACCATTTTGTTTTAAAGTTTAGTAAATATGCTCTGAATTTTTGTCTTTCTGTATCAGTATTTCTCAAACCTTTTTGTTCCACGGCACATTTTCTTACATAAAATTTTTCGCGGCACACTGAATGATTTTTGTGACGTTTTTGAAGTCAGGTCAGTTTTAGCAATGCCAATTTCTCTCGCGGCACAACTGGAGTTTTTTTCATGGTGCACTATTGTGCCGCGGCACACAATTTGAGAATCACTGATGCATATAATTCAGTCGCATAGTCAGGGAGAATTTGGGAGACAAATCACATCTTTTGTGAGCATGATGTGCTACATTGCAGGTCTGTTCTGACAATATTCCATTTATAAGATAATCTTGTAGCTCTCGTTCCTGTTTCTTCTGCTACACTTCAAATTCCTGATCCTTTTCTCACTCCAACGTCGCCAAAATGCTCAATTATGGCTTGATCTCGTACATTAAGCAGTCGAAGTATCTAAACTTCCAGAAAAAGAACAAATTTAAAAATGGCTGGTTTCGAACCAAAGACTTTCGAGTTACTATACTAAATTTGAACAAAGCACCTTACCCATTTGACTAGTAAGTTGCTTAACTGCTCCTGACAAGAGATCAGTTTAAGCTTGCACAATAAACCAGTTTTTTTCAAGTTCTTCTAGATTTTGACGACACAGTTGTGAAAAATGTCGGATTAGAATCTTACAATTCACAATCATTGATTACAACTAAATCATTCATTTATGTTCTCATCCAGAGCAGAACTGAAACAATACAAGATTAAATTCTGCGCCCAAGCCCCAAACACCAAGTTGACTTCCATCCCAACTTTATTCTTCCTTTACACAACAGCCTCATATATACAGTGTATAATGCATTTCCAATTAACATTCTTTCGTATGATGAGAGCGTTCGTGTGTTTGTGGTATGAAAAAAAACCAGAGCTTAAATAACAGTGAGCAAAAAGATGAACAAAAAGCATCTCAGCGCGAGAGAGAGAGAGCAAAAAAAGATAATTTTAAATGACTTTGCAATTAAAGGTTGCACACATATTTTCCCCAAATTTATATTTACGATATTAACATGACTTTTATTATTATTATAACTGTCAATGAATGTTAAATTGTAAAATAATTTTAATAAAACAAAAGTTTATGAGATTAATTTTTTTTGGCTGCTTGCTGCTGCTGTTGTCTTTCAATAAAAATGAACTTTTTATGAATGGAATTGTCGAATGCACTTTTCGGTGTTTTCGGAACTAAAAGGATGAGAAAATGTGCAGCTGTGCTCAAAATCGATAAATTTCATGAAATCTTAAACATTTTCAATTTTTTTTTATCTCATAAGATGAAATTATTGGAGTGATTTCAAATTATAAATTCTGTACATTAATAGTTTTCCTGTTCCTTTAAAGATGCTCACATTTTATTATTAAATTGGAATTTACTTTAATCGATTCTTTGTTGATTTGCCGTGTTTTTCATTTATCTACCAAATAATTACATTATTTCCTTTTTGCTTAATTTAAATGGAATGTTGTGC